TGCTCCTCTATGACCTGCTGCAACGAAAAGGACCATTTAGCAGGAGGCAAGAAGGCCCCCTTCCCACCAAGAAACAGTTGTGCTTCTCCTTTTCCTACAACTTAAAAGGCCAATTATTCTCTTTTTTCTCTCCTTTGTAACTCGTAGTCCTTACCTCTTGTTAAAATAATTCACCCCTGCTTCTTCTCCCTTCCACGCCCCGACCCCCTCCCTGGCTGAGCCTGGCCTAGCAGCTTTCCCCAGAGGATCCGAGCAGGTGCTCCCAGGTTCAGGGGCAGGAGTCTTTTTTGTCTGTAAACCCCCTCATCCCATGCTCTGTCTTCTTTCCTGGTTCCTATCGAACTCTGTAATAATTAAGAATTACAGTCTTTAAACTCAGTTACAATAGTATTGGGCTGGCCAAAAAGTATGTTTGGTTTTTTCCTGTAAGATGACTCTAGTAATGTTTAGACATGTACCTGCACTTGAAACAATTTTGTTAGACTGTATTGTGACAGGTGTCATATCAGCATGCATTAAAACAAAACTTATCAAAAATAGGAGAATTTTTGTGGAGCCATTTTACTATTGAAGATGGAAGAAAATATGCAACATTTTCTGGCATATTTTACTTTTCTTGAAATTATAAAATTTCAAGAAAGGTAAAAATACAACTGCAATTAAAAAAACAAAAAAAAAAGATTTGTACAGCGTGGAGAAGGTTCTGTGACTGACCGATCGAATGTATCAAAAGTGGTTTGCCAAGATCTGTGCCGGAAATTTCTTCCTGGACGGAGCTCCACGGTCAGGTGGACCAACTGAAGCTGGTAGTGAGCTCATCAAGACATTAACTGAGAACAATCAATGTTATACCATGTGGGAAATAGCAGACATACCCAAAATATCCATCAGTAAAGTTACCGGTGAGAATGAAAATAATGAGTCTTTTACTTCATGGAAAAAACTAAACTGACTTTTTGGCCAACCCAGTAACAATGAAGAATTATACTCTCTGCGGCTCCTGAAGCCGGAAAGGATTCCTTTGGTAGCAAAGGACACAGACTGGAAGCTCTGGCTCTGCACCTGAGCTCCGGTTGAGAAACACCTGGCAGACAGGGAGGAACCATCCGCTCCCCAACTGCATTCAGCCCTGTTTGCCTCCCCTCCCCGCCTCCACTATTAGTTCCTCTGCTGGGCTCTCTTCTCACTGGTCTTGGTTGTTCCTATGACTGCGTCTTACTTTGGGTGTAGTGGGGGACTTGTCTTCAAAAGGCGAGTATCGCTTTTAATCCGAATTACCACGGCAAAGCCCTTAAACCTCACAGAAGGTGCCCTATGACAGGAGCCACAAAACCGTTCATGTGACACTCAGGACAGAGGTACTTCAGACAGCAGAGTCTGGAGTAGAACAAGGACAATTCGGGGAAGACATCAGATGGTTAAATCCCTTGCCCCGCCCCCCCCCCAAAGAATTCAAGAGAAAATCTGCATGACAAAATTAGGAAACACACCATACTACAGACACATAATCTAGAAATGCTCGAATCACGTCTGAGATCAGGACATATCTACAAGCTTCGTTTCCCTCTACTTAGGAATCTTAGCTGTCCATGGAAGAATTCAAACAGAACCAACCAGCGCCTAAAACCAGACACTAGTTCTTCACCATTGCTAGAATGTTTATTTAATGTTAAATTCTTTAACACGCATGCACAATGCTAATAATGACGACACCTACCAATTACTTATCGAGTGCTTCCTACAGTCTGGGTGACTTGCTTTATGATCTGTGCCAGTCTCTATGTCACAGCTGAGGAACCTGGGATACGGTGACGACAGAAAAGTCTCACCATGGCTCACACAGTGAAAAAGGTGCCGAGCTGCAATCTGAACCCAAGTTTGCCTTAAAAATCTGTGCTGTAAATTACCGCATCCTATAGCCTCACAATAAATGCCATTTTCTCACGGAATGCTTTGAACTGAAATTTGGAAAACTAGGTTTTTAGTTCTTAGCAGCCAGCATTCAGAAAATGAGAAAAAAAAAAAAAAAAGAAACAGGCTGAGAAGCCATCCCCAGAGTTAATCACCAACAGGCTAGACAAGTTTCTTCTAGAAAGAAATCAGTGTTTCTTATCTCATGCCACCAAACACCATTTCAATGGGGACCCTTAGAAATACCATTCTGCTCCACTCAGAAAAGGCATGAATTCCAATCCTGTTCTGCAAGTTCACTGGTAGCTCTGCAAACCAGGGTCTGCCAGGACACAGATCCACTGTTAGCTTGGGCCCATCATGACACCCACCATCGGTCTGAGGACTCCATTGAGGCACCAATACTGTTTGCCCCAGTTCACATATTTAGTGCTAGTTCAGAAAAGCACAACTAAAAATCTACTTTGAAAAAATCCCAAAGTAGATCAGTAACCTGTGGAAACCAAACACTCAGGAACCATTCTTAAATAAAAATCAGCAATCAGTTACTAGTTGGCTCTCCTAAATTCACTTCATTCCTCTGGGGTCAGATTCTCAGGAAAATAAAATCCTAAAAGGACTAGCAATGATTGCATTAAATTTCTGGTTCAGATTTCATTAAAGCAAAATTCTATATTTAATCACCAGCTATTTTCTGATAGGAAATTTAGTATTTGAAAGTCACTTAAGATACTGGAGTTTCCGAAGACATCAGATACGGAAAATAAAGTTAAATCAAGAGAAAAAGTAGATTGTTTATACTAACAAGATGTGCCATAACTTAACAGTACATTACCTTTCTAGATCACCCTAAGGTGACAGCTTCGAACTAAGTTTAATACTCATTTAAGTCAAACTAGATACTAGACACTGTGAAAGATAGGAAGATGAAAAAAATACTACCTGCACTCAAAGATGTGTAATTAAAATAGATTACATATATACATAAAAATCTGCGTACAATGCTTTTCTCCATCTACCATGACCAAGCAGGTGTTAAAAAAGTTAAAGGAAACATTTCCAAGATCAAATGTGTATCAAACTGGTCTTGCTTCTGGTGCCAAATAATCTAAGAGCATGATTTGCTTTTTCCTCTCTGCTCATTAAGGCCCTGGCAATCACTACTTCTTTGGTTTCCTGAGTCTTTTACCTTAGTTTATTTTCTGTTCTCTGCTCATGTAATAAGATCTATCTTTTTGGGATTTCCTGTTCTGCTTTGAGTTTTTTCTGCTGCTATTGCTGGGGGCTTGAGCCTCGCCCTCCCAGAGCAGTACACTTTGCGTGGGCTGAACAGACCCTCCACACAGTTTCTTCTTTGTGCTTTTTTTATTGGAGATCTGGAAACAATCAGCAAACCGATCTGTGAGCATTGAGAGTGGCTCTGAAAACCTGGAACCTAACTATTCAGAAGTAATCTCCTGCGGGAACTCTACCTTTAGAAAGTTTAATCAGGAAGGTAAAAGATGGCCATTCCAATCACCTTCTGTGATTCCAAGTCCTCCCATCTCATTGCCGTTAGCTTTAGCTAGATACGTAATGAACAGGGCTATAGATTGGAAGGAAAAGAAACAAGCTAAAAATATGGCAAGATATGGATATGGGAGTAACCAATAGATGATTACTGGGATTCAATGGCATTAACACTAGGCCAAAATCATCACTATTCTGCACCTGCTGAAATGAAGGTCAACTTGACAAAAGCCTTTATGAGCACACACACACACACACATGAAGATAGCTGGAGTTAATTAACTACGCTTTTACTTATCCTTCTCTCTGAGATTTAAAACGTGCTCTCACTTTTCAGCCCCTAAATTTTGGTAGGTGATACTGGTCTTATAAAACCAATCAATAACATATAATTGATGTATCAGTTTCGCTGGGAGGAAAAAAACCCACCATAAGAAGAGGGGCTTTGAGAGTAGTAACCAAAGGCCACAGGACCCGATTAATCATAAACCTAGACGACAGGACCTGAATTTTCTTCAAGCACTTCCTGCCTTTTGTTTCAAAAGAACTACACCTTCAAGGTTAACTGCAGTCTCCCTGAACACCACACCAAGGTAGATGGGGAGACACTGGTTCCTAACCTAATGCTCTTAATTTACTCGCCAGTACTGTTTCGTTGAAAAGCATGCTACTATTCGCTGACAGTCGAACAATACACACTGCACTCCTACCCACACAAGGCCAACTCTGCAGATATCCAACACGCCGGCCTCACTGTGAAATAGAATGGGTGATTTTTCATCAAGTTTTCAGGGAAGAAATATGGAAAGCAAAAATGAAACACCACTCTCATCTGAAAACCCCTTCGAAGTTGGGATCTCCCTCAAGGAACAGAGTAGAGGGAAGGTACAAAAGGGAACGTGAGAATGGGGAGTTACTGTTTCTTCTTCCTCCAGAGTCTAAAAAAGTCCCGCCGCAGGTGAGCTTTCGACCCCCACAGGACAGGAGAGGATCCGCGAGTCTTCGGGAGGAAGGCCGAGGGTCAGCATGGGGGATGGGACGAGCTGAAGTGAAGGAAGAAGGCCGCTCCATCCGTGGAGCTGGCTGCTACACTGGGTTTTTGATTTCTGCTTCGCCCCAGCCCTGTTTTTTGGAAAACACTGATTTTTTTTCTTACGGATGAAACCAGCTCTGGTGCCACCTTAGCGACAGGGGGCAGGTGTAGGAGGGATGTCTGGCCTCCCGCGAGGACAAAATGGGGGTGGGGGCGGCAGCCTAGAGAATGGGGATCTGTGCTCCCTCCCCCACGGTTGAGGCGCTGGGCGAAGAGGGGCTGTAAATGAGGGATGTCAGAAGGGGCGCCCCCTCTGCGGAGCTGGGATTGACGCGGACAATGAGTGGCGGCGAGGACCCTCGAAGGATGAGGAGCTGCCTCCTCGGGGAATACCGGGAGGTGGGAGACACGGCCCCGCCCCCTCCGGGGATGGGCGAGAGTGGCAATCGCGACGGTAATGAGAGGATCCTAGGGGTCCAACCCTAGCTTTTCTCTCGGGAACACGGGCTCCCAACCTCCGCTAAGCCCCAGCCCTAGCGGTTCCTACCTTTTCCCGGCGCGCCCGGCTTCTCTCCCAGCCGCCTCCGCCACCCGCTCCCATCCACAGCCCTCGGAGGGCCCGCCCCTCAACCGCCAGGCGGGGCAATGGCATTCACCAGAGCCAATCGTCACCTCGCCCCTCCAGACAAGGCACCAATCCTCGCCCTCTAGAGGCGGGGCTTCTCCAAAGTCATTGCGGCTCCTCCCAGGGCCCCTAGATCCCTTTTGTTTGGGGAGAGCCAAACTGGGATTGAGGTCGCGTCACTTCCGGGAGGAAGCGTTTCCCTTCTCCGGCCAGAGGTTGTGGGTGGGCTCGTGCCTCTCCCGGCCGGCTTTTGCAACTTTCCACGTTCTGTGAGGTTTCCGGGCAGGACCCAGGCGAGTGCTTCGTCCTTTACCCTCCTGGTCCTGGAAGTTTAGGAATGGCGGGTGCACCGATGGCTTGGCCACATGAACGTTTTTGAAGTGTGCTTTGGTGTCTGGTTTAGAACTAGTTGTTGAAGACCTGGTAACGTGTCTTTCTTGCTTTTTTTTTTTTCGCCCGTGCACGAGCTTGTGGCTGTGCTGCTAGAAGGAAGGGCGCAATGATGAAAAAACCAGGAAACGCCCGCCCTCCTTTTCTTTTCACATTACATTTGGGAGAGGATGCTCTGGCGTGGGAGCTCCGGGTAGTACCCGGATGAGCATAAACCCAGATGGACTTGCCTTACAGGTAGAAGGCGAATGAGTAATTACAAATTGTGTGTCAAGGTTTTCCAGGCTGTGGTTGCTCAATGCAGGGACTTTTTGTGTGTGTCCTTGGCCACCTTAAACTGTGGGCAATGGCGTTTGCATTGAAGCTGGAACAAAGAATAGTGTAAAGGATTCAAGGAGTGTCTGCCCCTTCTTGTGAACACAGAAATGGCAGATCTTGCTGGTGGCAGCAAACCCTACCCGGACCACAAAGCCCACAGAGGGGAGAGGATACAGCCCTGCCTGGGGTCAAGTTTTCTGGATTCCTTTTTTTGTTCACAGATTGATTCAGCTAGTTAAATGATTAATAACCACATTATTTTAAATACAATAAATACTTACAATACCAATGCATATAATGCAATGGCGTACTAATAGTGTACTAATTTTAATACACTATTTCTAATTTTAATTATTAAGCAAGACAGTATTAGGGGCTTGGTATTCACCTAGGCAGACATAGCCCTAAAGGCAGATGGAGCTCTGCCCTAATGCAATTTACAATTTGAAGGAGGGATGTGGTCAGTCTGTTTAATCACAAGGGAAGTTGGAAGGAAGTAAACCAGTTTTTATGTTACCACTGTGCTGGGTACTTTTATATAAAGTTATTTTCACTTTATATCTTACTTCATCTTTACTTAATCTTCACTACTGTATGAAAAATCTTTAACCAGTAAGATAGATTTCTTTGTGCCTATTTTACAAATGAGATGATAGAGATTCAGAGAAATCAATGAAAGTCATAGAGCTAGTTTATGGGAAAGAAAGAACTTCCCACAAGGATGTGTAACTCCAAACCTGTGCTATATTCTGCTGTTAACTTTCACAAGGAGGGCAAGTCCAGAGAATGGGACTCTGGCTGTAAAATCAGCATTAGAGCCAGAAAAAGAAATTCCCTGCCTCCCCTCATTGATTGTAGGCTTGGGAGGGTCAACAGCAGCCCAAGTGCCTTCTAGGTAATGAAGTAGAAAATATGGAACTTCAGAAAGACATTATTCCCTGTGTTTAGGAGACTGACAATCTGAAAGGCAAGATCAAGGGGCAGGTACATAGTAGGTGCTCAATAAGTAGTGATTTGATGGTTACACAGAGGCCAGGTACTGGAATAAACAGAGGCCAGGTACTGGCCCATGAACTACAAAAATCCCATTTCCCCCTCTTCCCTTTCACCCTGCCTATGCGTGTGCAATGAGGAAGTGCCTCATTGCCTGACAATGAGGCAGACATGGGAGAACAGGCTATTTTCTGCAGCCTGAGTCACTCTTAAGAGTTGTCCTAGTGAATCAGCTCCTCCCTCCTTCCCCTCCTTTCCCTCCTTCCTTTTGTAGCTGCTAACCCACCACCACCCATTCTACTCCCAGGCTGTAGTGCTCTGTGGCCTACTCCCTTTAAATAGCATTCCTCAGCTCCCCTGACTCCTGGGGATCCCTCCTGCCCACTCCTGAGTGTGGGAGGGCCCAGCAAGAGTAAGATCATCTTTGCCCTGTATGATTCAGAATCCTGAGGGTTTTCAGATTGCTTTTCTCAACAAAAGGTTTCAGTCATCAATCCAATGTCAACAGGAGTCCCCGATTTCAGGTGTTGGTGGGGTGGGGTAGGAGACTATTTAGTTTTGCAAAGGTGGGAGAGGAGGAGAAAGGCAGCTTCCAAGAAAAAAGCAGTTTGGGAGAGGAGAGAAACAGAAAAGGCAGGTGCCAGAGACAAAGGGGAAGCCCTCTTTTTTTAAAAAAGTGCCTCCCTGAAACTGATTGGTCCATTTTATGCAAATGAGGAATCAAAAGCTTCAAAGTTTGATTGGTTCAAATAGCACACTATGCTGTAATAGAATTGCACTTTTTGATAGGCTGCACTTTGGGCAGATAAAGATGCAAATGAGAATATAACTGCATGCCTCCTATTGGACGAAGCAGGTCTCAGCCCATTGGTTAAAATACAATTTCAGGAGCTCCTTTATGAGGCAGCTCGGCCAGTAGGAGCTCAACAGTAGGGAAAAGGAATGGCTAGCTCGGTGTGCAGCTCTGCGCCTGAGAGGTCTCTGCAAACAATGGCTGCTGCTCTCTCAGTTATGAATTTGGAGCCAGTTACCCACAAGGAGTCCTTTTTGACAGGTACATTCCTTCTTGGAATCAACGCTTTCTTTTTAATTCATCACCCCCGAAGGTAGTTAATGAGCAGGGCTGTAAACCTCAGGAGACCTTGAGGCTGCAGCCCTGAGAGATACGGTCAAACCTCGGTTCTTGAAGGTCTCCCATCCCCAACAATTCTGCTTTTGGCCAAGTTGTTCACAGAAGAAGTGTCTCCGGTTGTCGAACAAAACTGGTTCTCGACCCGATAACACTTTCAGGCCACTCACACGTTTCTCAGGTGACGAAGATCTGGTGTTTGAACAAATTGTTTCTTGAACATCCCTTCCAGAACGAAGTTTTGAGAACTGAGCTTCCACTTCTGAAGAGAAGGAAGTTTGAGAACTGAGGTTCTGAGTTTGGTAATTCTTCCAGAACGAAGTTTTGAGAACTGAGCTTCCACTTCTGAAGTGAAGGAAGTTTGAGAACTGAGGTTCTGAGTTTGGTAATTCTTCTCTATGTAAAGTGTATAAATAAATTTAGAGTACCAAAGTGTACACAGAAGTAGAAAGTGGGTTCATAATATCTTAAATTTGTACCACAATATACCTTTTTTATATCATCAATTTGCCAGAAAAATGTTTATTAAATGCCTACTGTGTGTCAGGCAGGAACTTAGGAAATGCAAAAAACTGTATAGATCGTGTCGATTTTTCTCCAAACAGGTAAATTCCCTAGGTAGGTGTCCCATAAATGTTTGTTGCTGGCTTGGGGACGCAGTGATGGAGTAAAGAGAGCTAGACTGGAATTTAAAAATCCTGGAGTTCTGTTCGTTTCCTAGGGCCACTCTAACAAATGAACATAAATGGGTGGCTTAAAACAGAAATTTATTCTCTCAGTCTGTAGTTTAGAAGTCTAAATCAAGGTGTTGACAAGGTTGGTTCCTTCCGGGGGCTCTGAGGGAAGATCCGTTCTGTACCTCTCTCCTAGCTTCCGGGAGTCGCTGGAGGTCTTTGGCAGTCCTTGGCTGGGAGTTGCATCACCCCTGTCCCTGCCTCTGTCCTCCCATGGCCCCCTTCCCACTCTGTCTTGATGTGGCCTCCTCTTCTTCTAAGGACGACAGTTATAGTGGATTCAGAGCTCACACTAATTTTGTACAACATCATCTTAACTCATTACACCTGCAGAGACCAAGTTTCCAAACATGTTCACATTCTGAGGTACCAGGTGGACATGAATTTTGGGAGGGGGAAGCACTCAAACCCATATGCAAACCTACTTCTCAAACTAGCATCCCCACCTAACTGCATTTGACTTTATTGGTAAATAGTATCAATGTAATGAACTAATTCAGGAAGATCCTTTCAGTTCTATGATGAGAATTAGATATGCTAGAAGCCATTCATCGAGCCTTTACTATATGCCAGTCACTATAAAATTGTTTTACATTACATCTCCTTTAACCCTTAAAAGAATCCAAGGAGATAGGTGTGCATATTCTTAATATACAGATAAGAAAATTGAGGCACAAAGAAATCCATTGTCATGGACTTACATGATGAACATAAAATGTTTACTCAGGTCCGATTCCAAAATACACCTAGTAGGGGGCCTGGTGGGTCAGGGCACGTGCCTGGGTTGCAGCCAGGTCCCTTCTGAGGATGCACTGTGGGAGAGGCAACCTGTCGATGTATCTCTCACACATGGTATTTCTCTCCCTCCTCCCTTCCCCTGTCCCTTCCCCTCTATCTAAAAATAAATAAATAAAATCTAAAAAAAAAATCTTAATAGGGAAGAGGAGAGCTATGGATACTTACCTGAACCTCAGTTTTCTCATTTGTGAAATGGGATAATAATCTCCATCTACAACCCCAGGCGGCTGTGAATATACAGGTGGGATGATGGACACACATGTATTTGGTGAGCTCTACAAGGAGCTATCGTAAACTACCCGGGAGATCTTGCTCAGACTCCTCCTGCTTGGATCCCAGCCCTTGAGCTAAGCATGGGGGGGTTGGGGATTGAACACTTAGCTGTGACTCACTGGGGCTGACTAATGCTGGGCGTCTAGATGTACAAGTTGGAGTGACTGAGAAAGGAATCCGGCCCGTCTTCCCTACCTCCTGTTCCTCCTAGAAGCTCCCCACGGGCTCCTCCAGGGAGGTTGCAGGCTAGAAGCCTGAAAGGGCTCTCCGAGGCAGGTCCCAGGCTGCAGGTGGGGCTCGCCACAGCTCCCTGCATTTTCTCCCTTCACTTGTTTCCACAAAGGCCTTTCTGAGTATCCCTTTAGCC